GGGGGGGGGGGGTGAAGATAAATGCCATCTCGATTGCTGTTTATCCGCTCCGGGCTGATGTCTGAAACACAACAAAGCTTGTTGGGTCTGTCAGCTACCGGCTTCTTCTGATAAAAGAAGTTGCAAGTGTTTCCCCCGTAAAAAGCTTTTCCACCCAACTCGTGCGTTTTGTTTCTGTTTCAGGGACGATCTGTGAACAGCCGCACCAAAAGGTAAGAATATATCCGAGTGCAACATACCGATGCGAAAGTTTTTTTGTTTTTCCCCCCCGCATTTGAATCCTCTTCCTCTCGGTTGATTTTCCATCCGATGGCCGCTTTGGCGTCAGTTGACATGGCACCATCTGGAGCCCCCCCCCCCCCCCCCCCCCCCCCCCCCCCCCCCCTGACCCTCTCGCCGGGAGCAATTGATGTGCTTGGAAAGGTTCGGGTCAGAGAAACGCGCCAGTTCACCGGAGTCCAGATTGCTTTGACATTTGATGAAATGACAGCGGCAAAGTGGACAGTAGCGGCATGCGAAAATCGCAAGAGCAAAGAAATCTCCAAATTATCCTGTCTAAATATATATATCTGGTCAAATATGTGTGAGAACATAGTCCTACTCTGTGAATAAATAGATGACTTCACCCCAGACATATATTCATTATCCTCTGTGAAGAATGACTTCTGTCACTGCTGCTTCCTGAGGCGTTTCTCCATGTATATCCATTGTGTTTGTGTTACACTGCCCCCCGGTGGCCAGGGCGTGCACAGCGGAAGGAGCTGTAAAATGTCCAGTGACTTGCAAGCAAAAATTGGGCACGACGACATTCTATTGCGTGTCGCTATGCTTTGTTTTTACAGTGTGAATGGATCCAGTTTTCGTCACCTTTTTTTTTTCGGGATGGTCAAAAGCAGCATTTTGTTGCCTTTTGATGCGGTCACTCAAAGCAAGCCCGTCATCAAATGAACCTTCCGCCCCTCGCCGGTTTGCTTCTCCGCCGCGGCCGCGCAATCGGTGACGCACACTCGGCCGGCCCGATACCCAAAGCGCCGCTTCAGCACAAAGCTCTTCGACAAAGGCGATCACGCTCGCCTCGTTGAGCGCGCCCCCCCCCCCGCCCCCCCTGCCTCTTCCTTTCACCACTTTGTGATTCACGCCTTTCGTGAAAGGAATGGCTTTCAAGCAGCAGGTGTGCTCATCACCTTCCTGTGCGCGTGCGTGTGCAGCTGCAGCAGCTTGGGCGAGGAGAGTCGGCATCGCCACAACCGCCACGTGAGAGATGCCACGCCTGGAAGTCTGGAGAAGAGGCTGGAGGAGCTGGAGCAGGTTCACCACTTGATTTTTTTTTTTTCTTTTTTGCACGTGATTTCTTTGCAAGGTGATTGATGGTTTTGCAATTGGGAAAAGTCATTCAAGTGAATAGGGAAAAATAACATTCGTAATGTGCGATAATAATTTTCTGGGCTGAAAAATGGAAATTTCCAAAATCACAACAACAAATATTGGCTTACTTTTAAAATAAACCAATCCAAAAATGTGCGTTTGCCTCCTTGCTTGTGGCCCGATGATGATGACGATGAAATTCTCTTGACGGTCCGAGTGTCTTTTGATCAAGGGCCCCGCCCCTGGTCGGGGAGCACTTGTCCAGACGAGCGGCCCTCTGAGCCCGCGTCCACACTTCAAAGCCACGAGCTCCTTTTATGTCTCCGACCCGAGAGAGCGGTTCCGTTCTCGGTCACCATGGAAACGGATGAGCGCTCATCTGCAACGGGGAAGACAAATTGCTGTTTTGATGGCAAAATGAGCCCATTTTTTTTTCTTCCCAGGAGCTGGCCTGCGAGCGACAGGAGAAGGGCAGGTTGCTGAAGGCCCAGCAGGACAAAGACGACCTCATTGACAAGCTCAAAGAGGAGATGGACCTGCTCTACCGGGTGAGCTTCCACGATCACATGATCCTCCACTGATTGATTGTTGAAGGCATCGTTGGCTCAGGCACGACTACTGTTATTGCCCGCCTAACCGGGCTGCGAGGGGAATTGAAATGTTGTGGGCTTGTCTTCAGGGTGTGGCATAAGAACCGACTTGATTGTTACCAACAGAGGGCGCAGTTGTCTCGCGCCCTCCTACTTTTGGTTTGCTGCCTAAACGCGACCGTGCTGTCCCTGCAGGACCTGGACGACATCGAAGACGAGAACGAGCAGCTGAAGCAGGAGAACAAAACTCTGCTCAAGGTGGTGGGTCAGCTGACCAGGTAGAAGCCGCTTCAACCCACCGTCATCAGCGTGTGCATATTTAATGTAAATGTTTTTGTATATAAGTACCGTTTAGATGGACAGGACTGTATTATTGTTTAAAAAGAAATTCCCGCGTCTAGTACAGCTGCTTTTTAAGGACCGCTTCGCTATGCCTCGGTGGGTCACTCATATCATTTTTTACGCTTTGCACATTTCAGTGTTTTTTTTTTGGGGGGTGGGGGGTAAATCATCAACAATGTCAGGTCATTTGAATTGAAGATTTGTGTCTTTGGTTCACGCGCCTCGAATGTGTCTCCAATGAGCGGAGGGGCTTTGAACACGTCGTCAAAGGGAATGAGTTCCGCGCTGCTTCTGTCTCCGTCAACCTTTTCAAACAATCAAAAATACCCCCCGTTTTGTTTAAGCTTTTAAAAGGCACACGAGAAGGGTGTCAAGTGTTGCATTATGCATATGTGCAGAAGATGCAGTCGTTTAATAAAACTTTGATTATCTCCCTTCAGTTGCCTGGCTTGTGTTCATTACGGCTAATTGGATGTGATGATAGCGCGGCGCTCGCTAATGCAAGGCGGCGGGCGGCGGGGGTCGACGCACAGCCACACGCACAGCGACACGAATCCACCTGCCACTCATCCGATTTGGACCTCATATGCGAAACCACCATCAGGAAATCTCCCGCTAATGACAAAATGGCGGCGCATCGCTAATCGGGAGATAACAAAATTGTGGTCACAATTAATTTTCTGCTTCCATTTAGAAACACTTTTAAATAAGTGTTTGCTCATCGTACCTTGCAGGCGTTATTTCAGGCTCACCGAGTTGACGGATTTGACGGGCCGCTGTCCGTTTGTTTCCTTGTCGGCTGCAGTTGGGAAATTTCGGATTCCCCGACAGCCTTTGATCGCGGCGTAAACGCTCCGAGGGCGAAAGGCGCATCAGGCCCGAAACGCATGAACAGGAGATGTCTTGCGATAGGCTGCCCTTATCTGGTGCGTGGCGAAGGTCGACCATATTTCAGCCAGGCATCTCTGCGACCAATCTCCTCAATCTGGAGCCTGCCGGGAGGCCAGATGCCGGATGAAAAAGCGTTTGGACAGACACAACCAAGAACTCGACCCGTCTACTCGGTCTTCTTCTGGGGCGGCCGCCACCGTTTTCTGCTTCATCGTCTGAAAAATGGAGAGCCAAATGTCCGCGTTAGAATTGACGCTTAATCAGGCGGAAAACTTCCTAGCGGCTCGACAGACCCGAGTGGCCGGACGCTCTGCTGGGATTTGAGTCATCGCCTCTTTCTGATGTCACCTCTGCGTCGCCACGGCAACGGCGTGCCCCAATCGATCGGTCGCCTGACAAACGCAAGCGCTCATCTCCACGGGCAAACTTAAAACCGCCAGCCGTGCCGGTCTTTGGGCTCTCGATAGCCACCACCTTGCACAATCAAGGATCGGTCGAGCCCCACTTCGAGTTGCCGCCCGTCCTCCAGTAAGTGTTTGTCCACAAGTTCTCTCTTCCCGCGTCCCCGCCGCGACCAACTTGTTGTTTTTGTTTCTGACAGGGCAGCACGTGACGCCAGCGCGGCAGCGGCGGATGACTCACAAAGTCCCAGCCGAGCGGGGAGGCAAGCCCGCGTGAAGGTCACGTCGCCGTTGTCATGGCGTCGCCCCCGCCGCCGCCATCTTCCTCCTCCTCCTCCTCCTCCCGCCGTCGTGCCGAGTCAGCATGCCGCAGCGTCAACACACGGCGGGTCCAGACGGGCGGCCATCTGTCAGCTGCTCTTACACTACCCCGCAAAATGGCCGACGAGACATGCGTAAGTAGCGTCACGTGAGGGTCAACCGCTCCAAGTCATCCACGGAGGCAAAACGCAGTCAACATCCTCCCAAATGGCACTGAATGAAATTACATCGCGATAAGAAAAGAAAATAAATTACAAAACAAAACAATCATCTGTCAAAATTGTTATTGAAAACCAGAATTTTAAACTTGACTGAAAAATTACTGCCGGGGGGGGGGGAGAATCAATCGAGACCTCGTGAGTTGCATTGCAAGCCATGTGCAATTTCTCGTGTTTCTCCTCGTGATGTATTTGCAAGATGCGTCCGACGAGGCCGTCCGTCCGTCCGTACAGCCGGGCGTTTCCCGCCTGGTGGTGCGAGTGTCATTAGGACATGAAAGCGTGAGGTCGTCTCCTCAGGCCCATTTTCTACTGGTGGCTTTGCATAATGGCTGCCCCCCCCCCCCTTCTCAAATCCACCCCACCTCCATTAGTGCCGGCGTAACATGCGGCGATGGACGCCTAATAACACTCGCACTCTCTCCTGCCGACTTATTTCGTGGCTGTGGCGGGCGGATGAAAAGAACAAGGAAGGAAAGAAGACAGCGCACGGCGCAATTTTTTTGGACAATTTAAAAAAAAATTATGATTCTGTACAGAAATATTAGACAGTTCATTTTAAACGTTTTGTCCTAGTGTTTGTAGGTTGGAAAAGCAGTGCTTCAGATTTTGGAGTATTTTTTTTTCTATTAATTTCCCACCTGCTTGTGATTCACCTTGTGTGTTTGACAAATCTTTTGAGTGTTGTGTGCCGTGAGATCCGGTATGGGATGCTCTCCCTGCTCCGGCGCCGCAGGTGGTTCTCACCGCAGTGCATAATTACCACACTTTCCCATTCCAAAGAAAACCGGCGCCACTTTGATTTGTTTCTTTTCCAGTCAGAACGTTTTCGGTCGTCTGCCGTCGTGTGTTGCCGCGCTCTTCTGCAGCTGCACTCTGCACGTCATGTGACCCTCCGGACTAAAAATAAACCCTCCATCCCACACATCATGGGGCTGATAGGCGCGCGCACGCACACCCGTGAGTGAAGGTGATGTGTGGAACGTGGCACATACAAAAAGATCGAATGATTCGGCCTTGAGCGGCTGCGGGGGCGGCGCAACAATTTCCGAGTGTGACTGTCACCCTCTGCTAATTGACTTCCATCAAAAGGAAATGTTGACAATTGATAACAACAGGGTGATAAAAACAAAACATTTTTTTTTTCCAGATGGTTAGGCCATTTTAGCCAATCAGAAGATGGAAGAAAGCTACTTCTGGAAAAAGCGCGGCAACAGGGATCTCGTCAGTACATTTACGGTAGAGTAATTCCTAAATGTATGAATCAAACATGGACAAAATTAACTACCATTCCATCTGAGAGAAAACAAATTCAATTTCAAGTCAAGTCACATTTATTTCTCTCGCCCTGAATCACAAACAGTCTCAAAGGGCTTCACATGCCCACAGTTAACGAGCATTCACGATATTCCCTGACTTTAACTCCCAGGAGGGCAAGGAAACAAGTGAGCATTGTGAAGAAAATAAAAATGTCTTTTGTTACCGTGGGCTAAATTTCACCTTAAGTATTTTTTTTTAATTAATGTTGACTTGCATGTTGATAAGCAAGGTGCATTGGTTTGACCTGCTTCGAAATCGACGGTCAGACTTGCTACCAAGATGCTACAAGAATCCCCCACAATTCCCTGCGGCCGAAAAGAAAAATCGCCTGGATGGTGACCTCGTTGGGAACGTGTCATCAAAGCTCGCCCCGAGGCGTCTTGTTGTGCGCCTGTTGGCGGGCGCCATGACGTCACACCACCTCAAGGCAGGTGGCTCGACGTCTGGCGGGGCCGTAAGGTAAGGTGAAGACGCACGCCTGAACTCACCCTTTAAGTCATATTTTAACAAGCGAATAAAAATAAAATACAGCTTTAGTATCCCCCCGTTTGTTGCCCAGGCCCTTTGTTTGTGACCCGCCGTGCTGAATGGGTCGAACGACCGCGTGTTGACACGCCGGGCTAGATAGCATCGCTGCTTCCCGTTCTGTCAGAAATTGAGCACTCGACGCCATTTTGGCGCTGTGTTCAGATTTCTTGAATTACAAAAAGCGACAAATATGCTTTCGCTTCCATTTGCGCCCAAATGTGAGTAGTGGCAGCTTTAATTGGATTTATTTAGAGGGTGGCGCGGGAGGGGGGGGAGGTGCATTGTATGCCCGCCATTGTCAAATGGACAAGAAGAAGGCTTGAGAAATGAGGTGATGAAGTGCCCATTTGCATTTCCAAGAAAAGGGTGGATTAGTCAGTCCATTGACATGTGGCACCTAATCCAGTGAGAAAAGGCAGCAATTCCCCAGAGAATCTGCTCACGTTAATTATTCCTTTTTCTGTTGGTTTTACATTGTACGGTATTCGTTTTTTGACGGACGCATGCGCAGTATGCTGCCGCACTTGACGGTGCAGATTAAACTCAGTTAACGACGTCATGGTCTGAACATTTAGACGTAAACATTATTTAAAAAAAAAAACAATTTCATGATAAACATCAATGTGCTTCTTTCAGGGCGTTGTTGGATGACCCCCCCCGCCCCCACACACACACACACACACACACACACACACTTTTTGGCAGTGGTAGATTTGTTCGAAGGTAAACTGCGGTAATCATGTCTTCCCTGGCTGATTTCACTCAATTGATTGCCTCATTATTTTTCAAATGTGATTCAAGTGTCCTCGGGCTTCATGTCACGTAGATGGCTTCCTCTGTACTGAGAAGGCATTTACTCTATTTTTCTTGTTTTCAATACGAAGATGAACATGACCGTTTCAGTTTCGCCGCCCGCACCTCGCTTCAAACCAAACTTTGCGACCCGCTGAGTGCAAAACTGCCGTCTGAGCACATTGTTATGGCTGCAAATGTTGTGTTGCTATAAATAGATGATTGATTATTGGACTGTGGCTGCAGAGCCGTGTGACCTTTCGGAGTGCCTCGCCGAATGCCGCCGCCCACTCCGGTGTGGGTGCCCACTGCAGGGGGGGAAAAAGCTTTTCGACCCTCAAAAAGTCTGTTCACGACTATCAAGGCATCACATTTAATCTTGCAAATGTCATGTGAGTAGTTTGTACATTTTTAATACATTTAAATTCTTTTACAGTTTACATAAAATCAGAAGGATTCTATGTGATATGTATAATTGAATTCATAATCAGTTTTCTTATTTAAAAAAATATATACTTTATTCATCCTTTGATGCAAATGGATGTTGTCACTTCCCGATCTGGCCAATTCATTAAGTACACCGTAGACTCAAGGTTTTGATTGACACCAAGTTGAAGTATTTGCTTTTAATTTCTATTTGATTGATTTATTTTTTTTATTATTATTTTTTTAAGTGGTTGCAGTGGTCAACTTCCTGGAGTTGAGGTCACCACGGCGACGTGGTCCATCCCTCTTCAGCAGCCAGGCAACAACCTTGCAGGTGCTTTTGTCTTCCTTCTTGGGGAAATGAGTCTGGTCCTCATGGACAAGTTCTTACAAGTCAGCTGCGGTGGCGAGCGGGTGTTTTATTTTATTTTTTTTTATCACATCCTCTTCCCACAGCCAATCACGGTCGAGAGCTCGCTGCTGCGGGATGCTGGAGGGATTCCGAGGAATTGTTCTCCGAGTGTTGTCATCGTCACCGCCTG